CATTAAGTCAAAGTGATGCCTACAGAGGAAAAAAGATATTTGTGTATAAACTTTGAATTTTTCTGGATGCTCACAATATACATATGTAAATACATAAACTAATTACAATATAGTTTGCTTCTTTCTCAGCAGTTGAAGATGCCCAGAGAAAAAAAATCACTTCTAGTTAAATTAGATACTACCACATGTTTATTTCTAATCTCAAAAAACTATGCAATAACCAAACTTTCGAAACATAATAATACTTAAAATGTTCAATTATATTAAGCCATTTTAAGGAAAAAAGGTGGTGACAGGATGTACCTCAATGGTAAAGTACTTGTCAAGTATTTGTGAGGCCCTGGAGTTAATCTGCACCACCCAAAAAATTAAAATAAAAAAGAAACTGTTCTGCAGACTTGAGGACAACTAAACAGACTGAACAATAGCTGCAGTGTGTCTCAGACTTTTTACTTTCCCCTCAACTGCCTCCACCTGGCAAAAAAAAGTCAATAGAGGATTTAGTGTTACTCTAACCTACCAAACAGTGCTCACAGAGTTATTTCCCTCCCCTTAGGGATCTAGAACAGAAGTTCAGGCCCTTACCAGAATCATACAAACCATAGGTTTATAACAATACTATTTACACTTTGAGTCAGATAATTCTCCCTTGTGTGTGAGTGGGACATGACCTGTACATTGTATGATATTTCCCATCATCCCTGGCTAGATGCCAACAGCACTCCCCATTTAGTTGTAACAATCAAAAAACGTCTCCAGACACTGTCAAAGGTGCTTGGGAGGGCAAAATCATCCATGGAGAACCATTGTTTCAGATGTTAGGGCCATAGATCTTTGAAAAAGGAGGACTCCAGTCTTGTTAATTATAATTTTGCTTCTAAAATTTGGATATTTAAAAATATAATGGTAATAGTACAAAAAAGATATCTTTATGTTTGCCATACTTTAGGTAAAAGCATTTTTTAGATGACTTTACAACAGTCATACTTTTAGTCACCTACTTGCCCTCAGAGTGGGAGAAATGTTTAGTTCTTTCACAGCTCTGCTAGCAAAAGACCCACTATGAGGAATTATTAAAAAATAAAGTGAGGGGCTGGGAGTTTAGCTCAGGGGCACAGCGCCTGCCTGGCAAGCGCAAGGTCGTGAGTTCGATTCCCGGTACCGGAAAAAAAAACCCCAAAAAATAAATAGATAAAGTGAATGTTTAAATTTTAAAAATTTATTACAGTAAGACTTATCCCCCTCAAAATACCCCCTTCCCTTCAAACACACTTATCCCATCCTTCTTGCTACTTTCTTTTTTTAACTTATGTGGACATAAAACAAATTTCATGACAAAATAATGAGAATAAGAATAGTTAATATACTATGCATCATTATCATCAAAGCAGCTACTTGGAGTATAAGACACAGAAAAAATTTCTACAAAAAAGAAACAGATAATAGCACAAAATTCTTTTCAAGGAATTAAGAGAAACTAGTAGTATAAATAAAATGAATTAACATATACATTAAACTGCTTTTGAAATAGTGGAGTAAATAATTCAGGGAATTATTTGAACTCTTCTTCCTACTTCTATTTCTCTTTTATTTTGCTCGCGTGCGTGTGTATGCATGTGTAGTGTGTGTGTGTGTGTCATTTATAGATCTTGGTTATCTTACGTAAGAGAAACTAGACAATATTGAAACTTATATGTCTAACTTAGCTCACTTAACATTATGTCCTCAAGTTGCACCATTTATCTATGAGTGCCTCGAGTGTACTATTTTTGCCCTGTGGGAAGCAGTTCTACAAGTTCTGGTTAGTGGGTGCTTTTGTTGCACTGTCATGGCTGCCTGGGTGTTCTAAATTCAGATGTTTACCTTCCATGGTCATTTTGACTTTGGGAAAGAGCCAAAACTCTCAAGCTGCCAGATCCAGTGAATAAGGTAGATGAGGGCACACCGTAACGTTTTACAAGTATGCCTTTCTGTTGGATGGTACTTGCCAGTACCATTCACTGTTTTGGGGCTCAACCATATTTTTGATTGCACCTTACAAACACATTCATGAAAAAGACTTGCAGAATTGCTTCAGAAAATGGCAAAAATGATGGAATAACTGTGTTTGATGATGGGGGGTTCGAGGGGAATTAATGACAATGTGCCTTTTACTGTAATAAATGTTTAAACATTCACCATATATTTCAATCACACCTATATACACTTATATAGAAGAACACATCAATCCAAACATCCAAACCACCTAACACTCTCCACACCCTCCCTTTCTTGTTCCACATGCCACACTGTGGTTCTTAACCTATGCATCCTGGAAATTCAAGCTTCTACCGTTCAGATTTCTTCATCTGGTACCTGCTATTTGTAAGGCGACCAGGAATAAGCTGATAACCTTTACGGTCTTTTCCAACCTGATACTCTGATATTCAATAGTAAAAATACTCCTCCCATTTTTACTTACTGACCCCCAGTGGACCAAACTACTTCTTGAGGTCACTGAAGCCATTCAGAGATTCTTTTTCTTTCTTCAAACTTTGTATTTATATTGACACAAGGGAATAGTATTCCAGTTGTTTACAGTATACCTTTTAATACCAACAGTTACCCCCTGATACAAATAAAATATTTTAAACATGTAAATTGATTTTAAAAGATTAACTTTTCAAGAAACTTTGAAAGGCCATTTATATGAGAGGTCCATATCAGGAAAATATTAAGAAAATACTGAAATAGAACTGGAGATGCAAAAGGGAGAATGGGCAGTAACTGCTAATGGGTTCAATGGGGTTTTTTTGGTGGGGTCAATGAAATGTTTTAAAATTTGATTATGGTGATGATCACACAACTTAGTAAACATAATAAAAACCAGTGAATTGCACATTTTAAGTGGGTATACTTTATGGTATATTAATTGTAACTCAATGAAGCTGGTCTTTAAAAGCAGGAAAACAGAATTTAAATCAACATTATTGATAGGATAGAGTGTGATTAAGGACAAATTCTGCAGTTTGCCATTTCATAGGTTACACAAGATTTGATTTGAATTTTAACATAAAAACTTAATTACCTTATCCAGAAAGAAATGTTCACCTTTCCAGAAAACAAACATGCAACTTTAATCATCTTTTCCTAGCAAACTTTGGATAATTTTACCAGTCATATTTTGAAAACCACTTCAGAAAGCCAAATGCTGTAGCAACAATGTCTCCACAAGGACAAACTGTATGAATATCAATAAGAAAATATGAACAGCTTTTATAGTTTCATTGAGAAGACACGGACATGGTAATAATTCTAAAGTTAACAGAACATAAATTAAAAACAGCCAAATCACAAAGTTGCAAACATCTCCCAAACCACAGTTACACGTATTGGTCATTTTTACCCAAACCATCATCAATAACGACGATCACTATAAACCATCAATACTTCTTTCTAGGAAATCAAACTCTGTAACACAAATAAAGTCAAACATTCCATTTGTTCCATCATAACTGCTTAAAAATTATTTAGGCTCTCAGAATACTTTTCCAATTAGAACGCCCCATCAGACTTATAAAAGTGAATGTACATCAAAACCTGCACCTTACGTTATCATAACAATATATTTCTCTCAATACCACAAACAATTCATCATGATATCACTTCCCCAGTAAATATTTACTGTTAAGACTGTCCTGGGTTTGACAAATCAGAAATAGAGCCAATTAGAAACACTCCCCAACAACTTAATCTTTTGAAAAAGGAGCCTCTATAAAGACCAAAAAATACAGCTGGTTAAAACAGAATTTAAAAAAAAAAAAAGATAAAACTTTTTTTACAACTTCGGACGACTAAAATTCTAAAAATTACCACCCTAAATTGAATATATGAATAAGCCAACGAGCTAATTAGAATGGTCAGGAAAAAGTTCTCCAACAAGGACGAGAGGGCAAGGATGGCGGAGACAGAAGGAAGCACAGCTGAAGAAAATTACTGCACAAATTATTGCGAAGTACACTGCCAAACTGCAAAACCCGGAGTTATTCCTCGGGTTAGACACACACGCGCACATACGGGTTAATTATTCCCGTAGCTTCCAAGGAGGGTAGGGGCCGGCTGCGAGGAGAGAGAAAGTTTGGGGTCGCGCCCAGGAGGACTGCGGGAAGTTCCCGAGCCGGGATCGCTCAGGGGGGCGAGCAGGGCTGGAGCGACGTCGGCCGCAGCCGCCGGGCAGCCGGGAGCCCAGCCGCCAGCCGCGGCCCGGGAGGGAGAGCGACGAGGAAGAGGCGCGACGGAGCCAGGAACGCGAGCGCCGGGCCGAAACTCCGTCCGCGAGCTCCGGGAGAGGCGCGGGGTGGGGCGAGGGCGCCGCGCGGGCCCGACACCTACCTGCGGGTCCGGGCAGCCGCCCCAGAGCGAGGCCTAGTGCATCGCCGCCGCCTCCAGCCCTCGC